AAATTTGTGAATTATTCAATAAGTGTGTCCTAATTTCTTAAAAGTTAATAAATGGTATGTGCTGGAACATGTAAGAAATTAAATCTGATCTTTCACTTAGTGAAAACATAAATATGTTGTAGCAAACACAGAAATCTCCTCAAGCTCCTGGATACAGAGGCCTAACAGGAACTAATATATTCTTGTGCTCAGCAAAAGCCAGACGTACCATGTAATTAAAATTATCAGAGTCAGCTATTAAGCATAAAAAGGTTGAGAAGGCATAATCTCCACTTAGGAAATAAAGCTAGTACCATGTTTCGGAAGCTGCCATTCCTTTACTATTCCCTGCTTTAAAATTTTACCTCAGACCATGTTTAATCATCTGTAGTTAATCATGTATGTTTTTCATCATATAGTGATTCTTATGGCTTTTAGATACAATAAAAGCCAGGGTTATATATAAATATCATATGCATTTAACAACAGATATTACATACATGTACATACATATATACATGTATTTAAATGTTTATATATACATAGTCAGTTAATAAATATTTATTAAGCACCTACCATGTACCAGACACTGTGCTATCACTGAAGATACAAAAAAAGGTAAAAGACAGTCCCTTTCATCAAGGAGCTCAAAACACATATATATACACACATATACACACAAACATCCTGGATTTCCAACTCTAGATCCCTTTTATGTATTGACTTTTCCCATTACAATATAAGCTCCTTGAAGGCAGGTTATTGCTTGCTTGCTTTTATATCCCCAGCACCTAACACAGTACCTAGAACATAGTTAGTGCTTAATAAATGCTTTCTCATTCATGTATTCATTCATACATGAGAACCAGTAGCAAAAATACCTATCATACTAGTGATTAGCTAAGACAAGATAGTGCAGAGCTAGGATGTCTTAGAATTGTGAGGTGAAAATTCTCTTACTTCAGTGCCTGAGGAATCCTCTACAATTCTACTGTTGGTGTGTGTGCGCGTGTGTGGGTGTGTGAGTGCGTGTGTCTATACACATGTGTCTCCATCTGAGTCTCCCTATTTGGGGTGGGCATAAGGAAACTATGCCCTATATTTACATTCTCAGAAAAACAAGAACTCAGTCAATTAAGGGCACCATTAGTCTTCACTAGTATGTAGGTAGTGGGCAGATTTGTTGGTCAGACTACTATGTTCACTGGTGAAAACTGGTCCCAGGCTCTCTCTTTTACAGAAACGACACCTGGAAAAAAATCAGTATCCTAACAAGCAGGCTACAACTACTGTGGTTTTTATTCAAAATTATCTCAATTTCTAAAGAGATGCTTAATAGTCCTATAATTTCTATAGAAATCTATTTAATAATATAAAAATTCTACTATGGTATTTAAAAATATTAATGAAGTGATGGTAATGGATATAGAAGCCATATTATAGACCTGCTTTGAGGATGCATAAGGAATATAGAATCATAGTAAGGGGATAAAGATCTCATTACTGTGGGCATATATGTGGGATGTGACCTAAGAATAACACACAGAACTCAATCAATCAATCAATATTTACTAAGTGCCTACTATGTGTCAGGCACCGTACTAAGCATTAGGGATACAAAAAGAGGCAAAGGATAGCTCCTGCCCTCAAGGACCTTACAATCTAATGGAGAGACAAAATATAAACAAATATATTCAATGCAAACTATATAAAGGATAAATTGAAAGTAATTACCAAGATAAGGTCAAAATGGGCACATGATTTAGATATAAAGGGTGATAACATAAGCAAATTAAGGGAGAATGGAATAATTTACTTGTAACATCTATTGATGAAGAAAAAATTTATGACCAAACAAGAGATAGCATTACAGGATGCAAAATGGATAATTCTGATTACATTAAATTAAATGTTTTTGCACAAACAAAACCAATAAAGCTAAGATTAGAAGAAAAGCAGGAAACTAGGAAAGATTTTTTACAGCAAGGTTCTCTGATAAAAAATATTTGCAGCAAGTTTCTCTGATATTTCTCAAATATGTAGTGAACTGAGTAAAAATTATAAAAATAAGCACCATTCCCTAATAGATAAATAGTCAAAGGATATGACTAGATAGTTTTCAGAAGAAGAAACCAAAGCTATCTATAATCATGTGAAACAATGTTCTAAATCATTATTAATTAGAGCAATTCAAATTAAAACAACCCTGAGTTATCACCTCACACCTATCAGATTGGCTAACATGATAGAAAATAAAAATCACAAATGTTGGAGGGGATGTGGAACTGCACTGTTGGTAGAGAATTGCCATGACAAAAAAATCCTATCCATCTCCAGAGGGAGAAATTATGAACTTTGAGTACTAACTAAAATATAATTTTTCACCTTCTTTTTTTGCTTTTTTGCATCATGCCTAGTATGGAAATATGTTTTGCACGATGCACACCTACAATTTATATCATATTGCTTGCCTTCTCAATGGATGAGAAAGAATATAGAGGGGGGAGAGAATTTGGAACTCAAAAAAATTTTTTGAGGAATTTTAAAAATAAATAATTTTAAATTGAAAAAAAAGAAATAACATATGATGAATACAAAAAAATATGGAATGATCTACATGAACTGATGCAGAGTGAAATAATCAGAGCCAAGAAAACAATATACACAATGACAGTGAAATAAATGGAATGAGCAAACACATAACAAAAAAATTGAAAGTGAATATAGCAAAATTATAAAGTTCAACATGACTCAAAAGAAGAGATATGAGAGGACATTCCCAACCTACCTCTTCATGGAGGTGGGAGATCTATAGTTGTTGCACACTGTACAAATTTGGGGCTTTTTCTATGCATTGATTGGTTGTGCTGATATTTTCTACATCTTTTCCTTTCTTTTTAAAAGTTTTTACAAACTATTCATTGTTATTTGGGATGACTCTTGGCTAGGGAGAGTGGTACTGGGGAAAAGTTTGAGGATGTAAAAAATTAATTAAATTTTTTTTAAAAAGAATTGTTACCCATTTCTTATCTTCTCTATTAGAATGCAAGCTCTTGGCCAGCAAGTGCCATTCAATTTTTTTGGATCTCCTATCCCTACCACAATACCTTGTATATAGTAGCTTTTTACCAATTATCTATTTACTTGAACTCATATGAAAGCTACTTTATTCCTTTAAGAAAAGGAAAACCACTTCATAGTTGCTCCTTTCTCAACTGTGATAATACAGTGAGGAGCTTAAATGGATTCCACAGCTTAACAGATATATGAAGCAAACAGAACTTTGACTTTCTTAAAAAAATATCACTGATCTTCTTAGTGGAAAATTACATTTCCTTCAAGCTTCCAAATCAAAAAACAAATCAAGTGTGAGTCATACCACAAACCCATGAAATCATGGGTGAGAGGGAGCTTTCCTAACCAGTCTGCAAGAGCCAAGTGTTAAATTTTCAGTGTGAGCATATTTATACCTCAGAAATTAACAAATGCTACAAATCATAGTTTAATTTAATGTTTTGTTGATTTGTCTAGATTTAAGAAAGTTACGGAGAAAATGTTAATAATGCAAATTAAATTTAAAAGTGTTATATGTATATTTTTCCTTGGTAAACCTATTGTTAAATATTCACCATATACCTCTGAATAAAATCATTAACTTTTCAAAGCATGCAAATGATATGGCTTATCGGTGAATTAAACTTCCATCAATACGATGGAACAAGTTACATTTTAGACTGAGCATCTTCCACATGGTAACAGACAGACTGGCAAAGGCACCAGGTATAAGGTCTCTCATTGAAGCCAAAATATTTTCATATCCAAATGCAGTAAGATATGCATTATTCGACTAAATAAAACCTATAACAGACATCATTAAATAAATAATGTTAACAAAAAATGTATAGCATATTTGACCTTTGAATCTCAGGAGCTGAAAGAGACCTTAGAATCCATCTAGTTCAAACCATACTTGAACAAGAATTCTTCACAACATACCCAACAAAGTGTCATCCCGTCTTTCTGCAAGAAGCTTTTCTCAATCCTCCTTAACCTAAATGCCTTCCTTCTGTTGTTTGTTTCCAATTTATCCTGCATACATCTTGCTGTACATAGTTATCTGTACATTGTTTTCTCTATTAAACTGTGCATCCTTTGAAAGCAGGGTCTATTTTTTGCTTTTCTTTATAAATCTAGAACTTGGCACAGTGTAGCACATAGTGGGTGGTTAATAAAATCTAGTCACTGACTGACTCCCCCCCCCAAATAGCCCGTTTCACTTTTGGATAGCTTTGTTAGGAAATGTTTCCTTTCATTATACTTAAATTTATCTCTTAGTGATTTCCATTCTTTCCTTGTAGATCTGAGCTCTGGGATGTTACAAAAAAAAATAAGGCTAATCTCTCTTGTATGTGAAAGCCCTTCAACCATTTACAGATAAATGTCATGGATTAATGGGCTACATTTTGTAGAAGTAGATGCAAAGCTTTACTTTCTTAAGAACCCCTGTCCTATGTGATGCAAATAAACAACATTTTTCTTTTTCTTGCCTCATACTCCCAATTAGGTCTCCCCTGGCCCAAACCCTCTCTGTACTCTTGATCTGTTTTCCATGTCCAAGTTCCCTTCCTGACTGCCAAAGGCACAGAAGTTTCCTCATTATAGTCAGAGATGTGAAAATTCTCTTCCAGTTAAGTGATGAAGACCCCTTTTCTTACCTAGTTTGCTAATCTTTCATTTTGTTGCACTTACTTCTCCAATACAACTTAACCTAGCCACCATCCATTATGAAGAATACCAGATTGCTCCCCTCCCTGATTACAACTGCCTACAACATGTAGTATCTGATTCAGGTTTCATCAATATGACAACATCCACAATTACTGCACTATAAAGTTGGAAAAATCATTGGTAACATATTCAGTTAATTTTTTTTCATACAGCTCCCTTGTTTAAAGTAACTTTAATTCTTTTTCCCTTCATATCACTAAGTTAACTTCTGAGAGTTCATTTCTTTTATTTACCTCTTTCAGATCCTGAACAATAGCTGTGAGTCTCTCATTCTCCGCTTGAATGTTGGTGACCACAGTCCTGCTCTGCTTCAGCTCATTCTGCATTTCCAGAATCTTCCCCAGGTAGTAAGCCTCCTTTGAAGCAGACTCCTGCAGGAGTGTTTCTTCACGAGTCTCTCCATCCTCAGCTACTTTGCGATGGATGGAAAATGACTGTCCAAATGCCTGAAAAAACAAAACGTATGCAGACAATGAAATATACCATTCATTCATTTATTACTAAGTATCTACAATATATAATTCATTGTGTTGAATGATGGGGGAGACATAAAAATAAAGAAAGCAAAATCTCTATCCTCAAAGAGTTTACAATCTAATATAAATGACACATCATGTATCAAGGTGAATGTAATACAAAGATTTACAGCACTTGTATAGACCTGGTGCTGTACCTGGTATCCACAAAATATTAAAATAACAAAAGGAAGGCCTCTAGTTATTTTTGTCCTTCATCTTTTTTTATGAATATACAAGAAGACATGGCAAAAATGTGTAATATATAAACTGTAAAACATAATATGACAAGTGTTTAAGAGCTGATTAAGTCCTATACTAAGATAAGGTGAAGGAAAGGTAACTTCCCTCTAAGAGTAGAAGGGAAGGTTTCACAGATGGGGTATGATCTAAGATAAATTTTGTAGGATCACAGACTTAGGGGAAAACCTTTCAGTTGTCATATGAGAAGATCATAGATCTAGAGGTGGAAAGCCCTTAGAGGAAATATAGTTGAATTCCCTCATTTTATAGATAAGAACACTGAAGCCCAGTGAGGTTAAGTAACTTGCCCACAATTACTTAGGTTGCCAACATCAGAGATGGGATCCGAACCTATGTCCTCTCTCTCCACAGTCAGTACTCTTTTCATTTTCTTCGTGCTCCCTAGATCTACATCAGAAGGGGAAGGTTTCACGAATCACCAGACTAGATTCTGGAAGTCAATTTCCATCATAAAAAAGATGACGGAATACAGACTCAGAGAGGAATAGAGATTTGCCCAAGATCCCAAGATAGAACTAGGATTGAAATCCAGGTCCTCTCCTCCCAATCAAAGGATTGTAGATACCAGTGTAAAAAAGGTTTAGAAGAGGGAAAATATTGGACATGTTTAGGCAGCAGCAAAAAGTCCAGTTTGAATTATACAGTTCATTAGGACTTATGACATGAACCTGCAGAGGTAGATTAGAGAGGCAAGATGTGTTAAAACAAAGTTAAGTAATTTGGTCTCTAGGCAAAAAGAAATCATTTTGGGTTTTGAGTGGTAGAGTAACATAATCTGTATGTTAGTAAGACTATTTTGGCACAATTTTTAGAATGATCTGGAGGAGGGGGGAGTCTGACTCTAGGAAGACTTGTTAAGAGATTATATTAGCTCAAGATAAAGGTAATTAAGACCTGAACCAGAGCAGACACAGTGGGCATAGGAGGTACAGGGTAAATTGAAGGATATTGTACAGATCTAATTAACAGGATGCCACAGCATTAGCAAACAGATTGAGGAAATGCTGTTGTACTTTATTAGTTTTTTAATGAGAAAATTTATTCTGAGGACATCTTGAATGAAAAAATATGTTATATATTGTTCTGCTCTGGCACATAGGTCACATTTGGAGTATGCTGGTAAATATTTAACAACCAGCTCTCAGGAAAAAAAAAACAAATCTGCATCAGAAGCATTTTTAAGTTTAATCTTCATCAATAACATTTTCTTCATTACTTCATGTCTAGACAATCAATAAAACAATAAGTCAAGCCCTGATTTGCAGCCTCTGATGATTTCTATGGTATAAATGTTTACATTGAAAATTTAACAATACAGTTAGTATGAATTGGCTCTACTATACCCATAGTAACACTCTTAAAATCAGATCTCTTTGAAAGGAAAACAATAAGAGTCAAAAAATAATAACACAAATTGTAAAGTAATGTGAGGGATGGCTCACAGTGAAGTTACCTCATTAGTGTCTCCCTGCTACACTCTTACCTCCCTGCTATGCTCCTATCTCTCTCCTACACTCTGCCTGAGTGTGAGAGATGGCCTGCAGTGCAGTTCCCACAGGCCTAAGTTTCATTCCTCCAGAAAGCCTTGAGTTAAGTTTCCATTTTCCCCAATAAGTTGCTATTTCTCCAGCACCACGTCAGTTGGGGGTGGGGGGGAGCTCAGTTGCCTGGTTGCTCTTACTTCCTAGTACATATGCATCTAGTCCAAACATGAGCATGTTTGCTTCTACTGGGTATTAGCTGCCACATTTAGAATGTACGCCCTGAGTACCCAGTCAAAGGAGAAAGGGGTAAGAGAGTGGGAGGGGGCATCGCATTAGGGGATAAAAAGCCAAGGGTGCGGCTCCCAACTCGTACTCTTCTGGCTGCAATGATGACATGGGGTGGTACCCTTTCTCATGAGAAAGCAATAAACTCTTTTCTGCTTTCAAGGTATCTAAATCTTCGTTTTTATTTTGAGTGGGTGGTCTCTGTCCCACACAGTTGGGGAATTGTCCGGAATTTCCCTCTTATTTAGGAAGGGCCTCCCAGCCAGTCCTAGGACAGGTGCCCACCGGCCACTTGCCAATAGTATGAGGAATGGTTTGGGAGCTTCCTTTCACTTTTAAGGAATGGACCCGAAGAAAGACAAATACTCAAAAGCAGAAATCTCGGAAAGGGCACAACGACCACCACCCACTGAAGAATTTGAAGCAGTCACATAAACTTGTGCACACAGACCCAGGTAAGCAAGACCCGTGAGTTCTTTGTGCACATAAGCGGTTTGAGTCCATAAGGTAGCCAAGGCCAAGACCAGTGAGCCCCTGGGTGACCAGACCCAATTTTGCTAGCCTAAACAGTTTGAGTCCGTAAGGAACAGGGTCGGGTGGAAAGGGAAGCTCTAAGTAGTTCAAGTCTGTAACAGCAGTCCCACATTTTCCAGACTGCCTAAGATGTTCGAGTCCGTAAGGCATGGGGAAAACGAATTCTAAGGTTGTGCACCTAAGCAGTTCAAGTCCGTAAGGTAGTCACCTCTAAGGTTCATGGTGGCAAAGTTCCTTTCCAGATGTTCTGGATGATAGCCAATTGGGATTTACCAAAGTATAAAGCGAAAGACAAGAGAAAAGAAAAATGATCAAATATCGCTGCTTAGTTTGGGCTGGCAATGCCTAATTTGTGCAGGGGATTTCTAACAATTCTCTCTGAGCTTTTGGATTCTCCCTGTTATTTTCTGTCTGTATCTGTTTCTGTGTTTGTGTCTGTGTGGTGTGAGTGAGTGTCCCTGTGTAATTTGATGCCCTTTGCAGCCAGGTAGCAAGAGTATCATCCCAAGGCTGCAGCTGGACTCTGGAATGTTGTTTTCTTTCTCTCCCTCTCTCCCTCCCTGATTATTGCAGTCTCAGAGGAGTGGGTGGATGGGAGAGAGAAAGAGAGAATAATACTTTATTATTTAGGTTATATGACTGGTGAAAGGCAAGTCGAGAAGGATCCTCAAAGTGTCAGGTCAGAATTAGAAAGAAATAAGATATGTGCAGTTTTAAAGGGTCTTTAATCAAAGTCCCTCAGAGGGATAAGTAGGTAGAAGGAAAGGCAAGAAAGTTTAAGCAGAGTTTGTGTAGGAGAGAGGAGTATGTATAGAAAGTTTAAGGAAGGTATAATTTATTTGCACAGTGTGAATAGAAGTTTTGAAAGTAAAAAGGTTTGGAAACTCTTGAAGAATTGTTGGAAAATATTCTCTTCCTCTCTCTCGCATTCCAACTTTGTCCAAGTTGTTGAATGTAGAAGTGAGAAAGATAAGGTGAAAAGGAGGATGAATCTTTCCCCTTCAGATCAAAGGGAGGCAGGCTAAATAAGCCTTTAACCATTCCCTGCCTTACCTAAAAGAGAAAAGTTTTTGTGTAATAGGACCCAACCAGAAAGAAATTGAATTCATTCTGGTCATATTTTTTTAAAAAAATGAAAAATGTAATGTGTCACTCCTAATTTAATGCTTAAGATAGGTTAAAATTTATTTTACTATTTGGCACTAAAGTAAGTAGTAAATAAAAATCTTAAGCAGGCAGCTTAGAGTGAAAGGCTGATAGCCTAATTTAAAAACCAATAGATAAAGTTATGGAGAGATGGAAGGAATTATGTCTACCCACCTTTCGGGCTAGATTCATGGGTGGGTTCTATTAAATCTAATATGGATACTGGCTATGGTAAAGATATTGGTTATTGTGAGTTATGATTACTACTGTTCAATTAATTATCAAGCTCCAGAGGTGTCTACCTGGAGGGAAAGCTGATTATACTTTGTCAGCATTGATTCAAATTCCTTAGGCTTGCTTTTTTTTTCCTGGGCCAAAAAGAAGTAGTTAGAATACTGGCCCAGCACATTTTAAACTGACCTGATTACAATAGGTGATTCCAAACTTTCCCAAGAAAATGTGGACATGAATGGGGAACTGAAATATTGAAGAAATATATGAATTTGTGGATAATATTCCTTTATAAAGGGCCATGGGTATTGAACTTAGTAATGTATATTTGTATAATTTTAGAAGTATATATTGTTATTTGGCATTAAGAAATTTATTACCTATATGGCCCCAAAAAAGTTCTATTTACTTTAGTTTACTGTTCAGTAAGGGGATGGCGGTAGAATTCATTCCCAGGGATATTACAAAGATCACATGATTGTAAAGGTGCTTGGCATAAAACAAATGCTATCTGAATGTAAACTGTTTTAAGTTAAATAGAATTGCTTCATATTCGTTAACTTTATGTGGATTTTCTTTGATGTGAAGTTTATGTCAATGGTGATGAGATGAATGATTCTCTGTGTAAGGCAATTTGGGAACATATCCGATTAAAGTAAAGCCACCAGAGTGGTAATTAATTGGTTTTGGTTTTAAAGTTTAAATAGATTGTAGTTGTTTATGGTATTGTATTTCTAAAATTTTCCTTTATTGCATAATTTGGTAAACAACTGTATCATCTGTGTTGTCGGAAAAGCAATTTCTCTTATAATCTAAATGTTGTTAGGTTAAGAATTGTACTGTAAAAAAATGATGAATGGGTTAGGAAACTTTTAAGTCATTCTATTTGACCATGTATTATAATATTTTGAAGTATTGTAATTTAAGAAATCATAAAATTTCCAAATTTTGTCTTTATTTAAAGGGAATTTTCAGTTAAAATTGTTT